GAGTCTCTACCTCTCAGGGTTTCTCCGTGGCTTAAAAGAGACAGAGCACAGCCCTGGGTGCAGAGTGCAGGGGCAGGAAGACGAGGAAGTGGTGTGGCGGCGGGGTCACAGGCCTGCCTTCTGTTTCCATCTGGGACCCCACCCTGTGTGCTCAGGCACAAGGGCATGTCTGCAGGTGTTGCTTGGGCCTGGCCCTAGGAACACACAGCTGGAGCAGCCAGGCCCCCGGACATGGAATAGAATCCCAACGCCTCTCTGTGGCCTGCCCGCCTCTCTCAGACTCACCTGTCCATGAGGCGTCCGCACATTGATGCCACACTACCTGGAATGCCGCCCCTGCTCCTTTCTTCACAGGTTCCTTCTCCTCAGAGTTCAGCTTCCATGCCACCTCGTTCTCGAACATCCTTCCCTGACCCCTCCCTGAGTCTGTACATCTAAGCCTGGCCAGCTTCCTTTGCGGCTCTCACCACAGCCTCCCAATGCCATCCTCCTGACGGACATTGACTTGTCCCTTGACTTTTTTGTCTGTCCCTTCGCTAGAATGGAAGCTCCAGGAGAGTGGGAACTGGACTTGTCTTGTTCTTTGCTCTTTCCCCAAAGCCTACCACAGGCCCACCCCAGAGAAGACTATCACTGCGTGATGAATGAAATCAGTGAATGAATGACTGAAGTGATGGAGGGAACCTGTCTGGTGGGGAGTCAGACATACCTTTAGTCTCAACACAAAGGAGTGACTGCTGAAGCCCAAATGACTGTGGGAGCGCCAGGGGGCAGAGAAGCCCCTCCCCCACCTCTGGGCCTCAGTTTCCCCAGATATATAATGAGGAGTTGGACAAGCTAGTCCTCCCTCCTAAGGACCCATGAGGAAAGAGCACGGGGTAGGATGGTTACTCACGGCAGTGCTCAGCGAGAGCCCCCAGGACCCCCAGCAGGAAGAATAGTGCCCCGAGACGCCCCATGGCAGGAGCAGGTGGCCAGCAGCAGGCAGTGGACAGACTCCTAGGCTGGCCTTGAGGACGCTCTGTTGACCACAGCGGGTCACTCCTGCAAAACAGGCAGCTTCCTGTCACTGATTAACCCTCCACGCCTGGGAGCTGCTAAGTCAGCGGAGAGAAAGGGGAAAAGTCTATGGTCAGGGAAAAGGCCGGCCAAAGAAGACAGGAAGGAAGGGGAGAGCTGCCTTTCCCAGGGAGGGGGCAGGCAGGGGGGAAGGGGTGGAAAGGGGTAAGGAGGGCTCGGGGAGACACCTGGAGGCCAGGCACGTGCTGTCCAGGAACAGTGGGGAGCAGAACCTTCTGGTGAGTTCGGGTTGGCATGGCCCAGCTGTTCCAGGGTGGGTGGGCAGGGCTGGAGTGCCTACCTGGTGTTTCTTAGAGAAAGGGCCCCCTGGAAGCATCCACCCTGGCCCAGGGCAGGGAGTGGGACAGAAGCTGGGTGGTCACATGAGCAGGAGAGTCAGCTGTTCTCTGCCCGCCCACCTGCAGGCGAGGCCAGCTGGCTCCAGACCAGACTTTTCTCAGCCAACCGGAAAGCTGAGGGCCTCCTGGAGACAGAAAAGCAAAACAAATTAAGGAACGGGATTTAATCATTTGAGGCACAAACCCACAGAATATGGGGCTGCTTGTCAGGACCAGGAAAGGAACAATTTCTACCAGGAGATTCTCAGGGCCACAGCCCCCGGGAGAATCAGTGGGTCTGAGTTAGCTCTGGTGGCTGTGTGATCTTGGCCAGGTCAATTAACCTCTCTGAGGTTGTTTCTCCTGTGTGACATGAGGTTAGACAAAAATCATTCAAATTAAGCTCCTTGCAGCTTAATTTATATAGAAGTCATATCCTTACAACATCTCTAATCGTTTTCAAATAAGATTTTTATTGCTATTATTTTATGGCAAATTGCCAAGGTTCTTTCTTTCAAGATAATCTGTCTTTGCTCTGGACTTATCACTCTTGACATAGATAAATACAGGGATATGCATCTGTTTTATGGAAGTACTTTGTGAATTTTTGGTGCTGGAAGCCTGTAATGGGACGGGGAGGGAAGGAGGGTTCGCTCCCAGGAGGCTCTGAAGGAAGGGTTCAGGCTCAACCTCTGCAGAACCACGTGCCCAGACCTCCAGGGAAGCCACGGTGGGGG